GATGTGCAATACATTTTGGCAGCTACTGTTCATGAATTTGAACTTTTCATGCTGCCATATGATTTCAACAGACTGTAAATGTAGTTGTGTGTAAAAACAGTAAACGTGACAACTTGAACACCACTGAGCAAAAGGCTTTTGCTAAGCAGTAAGTAATCCTTTGCAGACCATTTGCTTTGGCATATGCCCTTGTCTGTTTTAAGCAGCAACAGAAAACACTCCATAAAATTGATCATAGTAAAAATGTTTGCAGCTTATACTAAGTTTTGTGTAAAAGTGTTTGAGAAATGTCTATTGGAGAGTTCAACCACAGTGTACAAATGAAATGTCTGAATAGCTTGTGGGTGTTGTTGTCCAGATGGAAAGCCTCTAATGACGGTTCTGATGGTTGAAGAAGCTGTAGGTTCATCTAGCAGTGCACAGTCAGATCAAAACATTACACGCCTAAGATACCCAATGATAAACAGTAGGTAAGCACTAGTCATATAAATGATAATAAAGACGGTATTTTATTCCAAAAAACAAATGAGACTGTACAAGATGGCAAATACACTAAAACAATAGGGACACCAAAAATAAAATACAAGACTTGTTTAAAAGAATGATCAAATGTAAAGTCAATTGAATCTGAAAGAGGACAAAGATATACTTGTCCTAATTCTCATCTGATGAGTGGATCTGCTCGGTCTCCTCTGACTGATGTTTCTGAATCTTTGCAATCAGCTCTGTAGGGAGAACAGAAAGGGTAGTGAAGATACATGAGGTCTAAATGGAATTACCTTTTCTTCAAAGTTCAAAAGCCAACCTAATGGGGAAGTAAAGAGTAAGACTAGGATATGCTTCAGCACACTTATTCCTAGAGCATATCCAGGAAGCACAGTGCACAAATCAGGATTCCTGTCCACTGCGGGGAACTCACACATGGCGACATGCCACTTATCCAAGCCAGAATGTCCTTGGGAAATGGGAAGAAACGGGAGCACCTGGAGAACACTTACTCAGACCAACCTTAAATGCAACACAAGACCTGGGCCAGGTCCCAAGAGCAGTGAGTCCGTTAAAGGTTAGCTCTTGTTTCAACTAAAAAATGATAGTAATGGCTTTTGGAGATGCGTATGCATACTAGATAACTAGCATTCCTGATACATAAGAACAGTTAGATACAGGAGGAGGCTATTTGGACTGTCTAAACCATTGTAGCTAATTGATCCAAAGACTTACAGGTGTAATATCAGTACTGAAGTTACTTACTCCAAGCATCACCAGCCCCACATGTGTTATTGACATGACATGTGTATGATTCCTTTTACTCCACACCTTGTAAGCTATTAAAGAAACCAGAGAGACTACAGGCACATGATGCCAAGACATTGATAGTTTAAACTTGGGTGCTAATGGGAGAAAAACACTGGAAGCAAGTATACCTTTGGCCGGATTAAACACCCCATTGGTTTGTTGGTTACACACGTAGCAGCGCTTGGACTTCCGATAATGCTGCAGAGCGCATCTCTCGCAGAAATAATGACGGCACCTAAGATCAGAGAAAACACTGAATGAGCATCTCCTTTCTTACTGATTTAACACCTCAAGCGAAAGTGCTTGTGGAAGTGCAGCCCCCACCCTCGTGACACATGGCAGCTACTGTGCCCCTGCAGCAGTCGATTTCAAGGTCAGAATGATCGTCGGGTGTTTTACACTACAAATGTAGGACAGCTGCACATATCTATACTTGTGCATTAGCAATAAAAAAAAAATGAGGGATCTCTATTCACTCCCCGCAGTCATTTCAGCTTTTGCTAAATCATATGAAACAGCTCTGCTATCAAGTCCCAGGAGATTGCTGGATGTGCTCACTTGGTAATGATGGGGTTTTTGAAGGATTCCCTGCAGATGAAGCACTTGAAGGGCAGGTTCTCTTCATCACTGCTCACCTCGTAGTTCTCATCGTCTGTAGGAGAGATGCCGTTACAGTCATGAGCCTCTGAGGAAGACTTTCGCATAATTACGTTAAATGCCACTTTTTTGGATTGCGGACCAACTCAATTTGGAACTGCAGTTGTTTTTAGATGCCACTTTTCATCAATGACCCATGTACCCCTCAGGAAGGAATGAGACTGATTAACGTGCTCTTACTCGTGTGGGTACAAGCCAGCAAGCCTCCAGCAAACCAGGTGTGGTTTTCCAAAAAGCCAAAAACACAGATTGAGTTTTGTTTTTTTATTAATGAATTGGTGCTTTCATTAATAATGGGCGCTACCCTGGTTATCATCAGCCAGAACATAATTATTTTTTCCCTTTACTCACATCCTTATGATGTTTTTAAATTTACAGGTTCATTCTGTAAGTACCACCAATGTTCAGTGACATAAGGACTTTTCTTTAGTTATCTAAATGGTAGATTTTCATCTTACCAACAGCTGACATCAAAGAAATGGCTATAGATTGATTTTGCACTGTTTATTTTACATACCAACGCATACGTGTAGTGATTATACAATAAGCATTCCCAAACTGTGAAATACTTGTACTACGAGTGGAGGAATACTCCATCTTCTTCCTGAGCGTCCCTTTCCTTAGCCAGAGGCTTCTGGATTAGAGCCTCCCAAACCCCCACCCGTGTCCAAACTTACCGTTTGCCCCATAGCGCCCCTCCTCCAGTTCCCTCTCGATCTGCCAGCCATGTTTGTAGTCCGAGCGGTCGTGGAGAAACTTGCAGCTGTCTGTCCGGAAACACAGAGGTGCTCTCAGCTCTCAAGGTTTTTTTTGCACAGATGGCACACACTTCACTAAGTGTGGCAAATGGACACCAAGACAAAAACATGTCATACCGTTATTAGGCCGACATTATGTTAAAGGCGTACTTTGATAAAATGTTACTGACGAAATCTTAACGAAAGCCAAATACTCGGTCCTTGAGTGCTGGACCCCTAAAGCTTGTGTTGCTGTTGTGCTGCATGGAGAGCCAAGCCATTGAAGAAGCTTCAGATAAAAGCTGTAAATGGAAATGCCCATTGCCATCTCATCACCCATGGATACCGTCTTACCTCCAAAGCCACAGAAGCCCGTCTCTTTGTAGTCCTTGCAGATGTCAGGCTGGTAATCCCACCTCACTGTTGCCCTCAGGTGCTCTGGAGCTCTGATGGGACCTTTCCTGTGGTCAAAACCAAAATCTGGAGCTCTGAGCACTGATCTGATAGCATCTGAACAGTCAAGCTTTGCATTTAAAGTGGTCACATTCAACTGAAAAGCCTTGCTTTTAATGAACAAGCGCTTCATTGTGTTGAATTTGCAGATATTTTATTAACACACTTATAAACACTGCCATACTTGCTCTAGAAAGACTACCAGAAGACAAGTCCCAGGAACCATGGCAACCAACAGTTCTGCTGCTCCACTGATCAATCCGTTACCATAACAACGCAAAAGTGGCAGGAAATCAATCCCACCTGATCGCTATCAACCCAGTACTTCCCTTCTTTCCCCAGGATATTTAAGACCCGATTTCCCAGTGTTTTCTGCTTTGTCTCAGAGAGTCTGTACTCCTGGTGGTCCTGGTGTTCCCAGTTCCCTCTCGGCCACGGACCTCTCTCGTGTTTAATGCTTTGCTTTGGGTTTTCCCTGCACTCAACTTAGTTGTTTGTTTTTCTGGCTTTTGATCGGGGTTTGCACCCTGATTTCACTCCTGAATTTCCTGCGTACCTTCCCTCTCTGTACAAACCCTGCTGGCTTCCTGAACGCGTCTTGGATTGTGCCCATCGCCCGCGCCTGCCCGCCTGCGTATTCTCTCCGCCGTGCACCTCGGTCCACCTCACTGCCTCGTGGAAGTACTGCTCTTTAACCCCTATGCCATACTCCAGCTCTCGGTTCGGTAAGAACAGAGTTCATTACATTTTCTCTGTGTGATGCACTACCATTTTTTAATGAATATTAGCTACCCTCTCCAGCCACATCTTCCAAAACATACCTGACCATCCCTGAAGAGGCGTTCCCCATGGATGTGTCTTTGGGTTTGATAAACTTCTGGTAATTATTTATTCCTCGGTAGATTTTGTCATCTTCTTTCCCTGACAGTTCCTAATGGAAACAAACGGGTTTTCTTTGACAGCTTGTCAAGTACTTCCTTGGAAAAGAAAAACTTATGTCTTTTTATTTTAGATCCTGTTTTGATTGGAGAAATTTGTTTTTGTTGCTAAACAATTATTTGCTTTAGAAAATTGCTCATTTTTAGTAGCATAAATATTATATTAATATGTACATTTGTTTGCATTTGATAGCCAGTTGAAACTGAAGTGAACAGAATAACAGGTAAGGACTAAATAGCTCTAAAAGATAGGCTGTACCAGGAGAGCCAATTTTCTGATTTTGTGAACCAAGAATAGAAATTTTCTCTTCTCCAATGACCACTGGGATGATTACCTCCTGGATTTTCTGGCTGCGCTCAAAGATGGACTGAGCATCCTTGTCTTTTTCCGTGTCTAGCTCGTAGATCGCTGTAGCACCCATGTCCTCTGGCCCTTCTGGTTTCTGCAACATTGGGGACAAAAACAGGAAGAGATCAAATGAGTCCCTAAAGACACTGGTTGAACCTCAGCCTTAAGGAAGAGTCGGTGCTAATCTGTGGAGCACTGATGTCACTGACAGCCTGCAGGTACCCAGCAGATCCATAGTGTCGCTGTTCTAGTACCTCCTCTTTAAGAATCCCAGTCATTGATGGATAATGACATTTCCAGCCTGGTTCTAAATATTCAAGCGAATCCCATGGTTTCAGTAACATAATCTCACCCCAAAGCACCAAAGGTTTACCTGTTGATGATCAATGGAATGAAAGATATCAAAACAAGGGTTATCTGGTCTTTGGTGGACATTTTAGTATAGTCAGGAAATTTACTACACATAGTCTTTAACAGAGGGGTATTCAGGTTTTTGTATATCTCGCAGATGACTCACAGCAGATTTGGTGGATTTGTAAGCTATCGTCATCTTCTGATCCTCCTTTTCACCTTCGCTGTCACTGGAGGCTACTTTCTCTTTCTCCGCCTTCTTGGTCTGAAAGAGCAAGAGGAAAAGGACAGCACTCAGAACAGATCTGAGAACACGCCAGAGCTCTCCGTGCAGGAGTCTGTGTGTTCGTGTCACAGCCGGCAGATCAAAGGTAAAGGATGAGCTTCCCACTCTGTATACCAGTAATATTTCAGAGCTATACCACTTCTTGTAAATGAGTGGACTTTCACGTGATTTACTGTATCAGCCTTAGTTAAAACTGGGGTAATTCAACCAAGCTACAGAACAGGACCACTGCTAAGGCCACTGCTGCACAACAGTTTGATACTTTTCAGGTTTTACCATTGCAGGCTCTACTGCCTGTACTGATAAAAAGAACAATATTAAATTCACACAGCTGTCTATGGAGGATAGGATATAAGTTTTTTTTTATTCACAATGAGGAAATTTAAAAAATGCAACTATGCATGTTTTTTTATACTGTTCCATTAAATAATACTTTAACATTTGCCACTTTTTATATGATTAAAAAAAAACATGTAACAATATGCTAAATGGACAGACATGATTTAAGCCAGATTTTTTCCTGGTGTGTGTACCAAAAGAGCATGCAAATTGAAATCAGCCTAAATCTCACTCTGAGATTTAATAAATCTTTGTCTTTGATAAATGATCCATATGGCATCAAATATTTTAAAATATAAAGTATGATTAACCAGCATGTGCAAACCTCTAATACCTGAAATGGAAACACCATACGGAGGGGAATTAGTCTATAAAACCGCTTTCTTTTTCCTTTAATTAAAATAAAAATGAATAGCATGAAACCTACAGAGTTCCTTTTTTTCATTTTATCAGAAATGCTCATAGGCAGTGTGTCAGTGGTATCAAAGGCACAGGAAATAGTTCTACTGCATTTCCTAACATTCCCATTCCAAACCTGGAATCTTACCCCCTGGATCATGGGATTGGCAATAGTGGCCTTCTTCTCCCGTCGTATCACTGCATGTCCTCCTTCATCACTGCTGCTACCTGGGGCAGGACGGGGCAAATACAGAGACATGACTGCATTTAAACAGGCAGCTTTAACAGAGATAACACAGACGTAACACATGACCAGGCACCATTATCGCAGGGCAGCCTGACAGACTAGCAGCAGGGTAGACTCACATAATGTGATAGATTAAGGTTATGGATACCATGTCCTGTATGATGTTAAACTGCCTGAGTCTACACTAGTATCATGTAACCAATAATCGTCCAACAGATTGTTAACTTTCTGATAGTTTATTTCCTTATGTATTATGAAAAACTGAAAAGTTTGTCACGTTCTCTAAACATTTTCTTGTCATTTCAATCTTCTCCACTAAGCCGATACAGTGGGGTTTGAACGTAATGAGGAAATCATTCCCATTCTAAAAAAAAATGTATATGCAACTGAGCCTTAAAACGTGGAAAGCTTTTACAGACTGTTGTAACTGGCTCCAGTCTTCTCAGACTGACACTGGGCTGCAGCAGCTACAAACACGAGTATGTTTGCTACTACGTCGATGTGTTTCTTCACAAAGAGTGGACAAACACCATGCTCACAGGTGAACGAGAAGGACGTGTGACGATTAACCCACAGAAACAGAACAACGCAGTTACCTTTCTCGCTGTCGCTGGCTTTTCGCTTCCGAACAGAGACTTTTTTGTTCGTTTTTTTAAAGAAAAACGTACAGGTAGCTTTAGACTCCTCACTTTCAGCCATTTTTATTTCTCAGGCCTCTATCCCCCCCTCGACTGTGCGCAGGTTCAGTAAATATAACAGCGACATCTAGTGACAGCCCATCAAAGCCCTCCCAAAGCTGCCCCGGGCAAGAGCAAGCGTTCTGATCCGTGGAGAACAGAGAGTAGAGGAACTCATTACACGTGTACGTGTGCACTGGACTTATTATTCGCGCTGATCTCTCGGGACATACACGATACAACAGACAACACCATACAATGTAAGACAGTATATTACAAGATAGTAAATAATACAACCAGAACTATAAATATGTACTAACGAAAGAAAAAACCGTGCATAGTGCAGGCGTGCATTGAGTTTGAGACATTGCAGTTAGGTGTTGAGGATGTGTACTGCAGGAGGGTAGAAGTTGTTCTTAGGTCTAGTGGGCTGAGCTTTAGCTGTACAGTACCGCTTGACAGAGCGCAGGGGGGAGGACAGCCTGTGGTCGGGATGGTTGGGATCCTGAATGATGGATTGGGCTTGATTGCGACAGCGGATGGTGTGAATCTCCCCGTATGATGGTAAATCACATCCTGTAATCCCCTGTGCTGTTGCCACAACCTTTTGTCATGAAAAAGTTACAAACCTCTCATCCTGCCCATCTGACCCCTTTGGTAGCATGTAGCTAATTGATCAGAGGATCTCATCCAGACAGCTCTTGAAAGAAGTCAGGGATTCAGCTCCAACAGTCAAGGCCGGTTATCTTTGTCTTAAAGAAGAGCGTCCTGTGGTCATATTTAAATGCACTTCAAGAAGGGTGAACGGATTTTATAGCCCAAAATTGTCTGGTATTTATTCAGGATAAAAGTTCCTTAAATGTAAAATTTACACTTTGGATTTAGACATTTTGTGTTTTGCAATTGCACTTAAAGGACATGCGAAGAGATAGCAGAAATGTTTTAAAAAACATGAAATGTTTATCCGTCCATCTGTCTGCTAACCGTTTACCAATACAAGCTTGCAGGGAAGCCAGAGTCCATCTCATTAAGTAATGGGTCCAAGGCAGGGGGTACACCCTTGACGGCACAACAGTCCATCTTAGAGCACACAGACTCAAACACACACACACACCAGGGACAATTTTCCCAGAAGCCAATTAACACACAAGTGTGTCTTTGGACAGTGGGAGAAAACCGGAGCACCCAGAGATCAGACCACGTAAACACAGGGAGAAGATACACACTCCACCCCAGGAACTGAACCCAGGAGCCCTGCACTACAAGACAGCAATGCTGACCACTGTGCCCATGCACTGTTTCCCAACTTTGTTATTCCGAACGCAGGAGGAAAACGAGTGGTTTCAGATGAGATAAATTAGCATTTGCCAGCAACGGTACAAACCATAGCATTTATTAAATGTTTATATTCACCCTTTTGTGTGCATGCTTTAACAGGCTTTTTAATGGCAATGAAAAGGAAGTAAAATGCAGTTAATATAAACAAGCAGCAATAGTTACGCTTGTGGCAGTGCAAAAAAAAAACAGCCAAGAGTGACAGGACGACCACATGAGAGCGGAAACCACAGCTGAGTGATGGGAAATCAGATGGGTTTTCACTTGATGAGCTCAATTTGGTCCACATGCGGTTGTAAATAGTCAGGAGATGAATAGAGGCAGTAAATCTTGGATGTAAACCACACTAAAACAAGGGAACTGTTTCTTTTCGCCTGTGGCTCCGGTTCATGGCTCTCCGGGTGACACCGAGCAGGGCTGTCACACTGTCTTGACAAATGTCCACCAGCTACGGCTTTCGTGGGAGAATGGACCAGCCTTTAAATCAGCCGTGCTAGTAAATGCAGGCACATCCCTGAAAGGGGGCCATTGTGCTTTTAGCGGTAAAAAAAAAAAATCACTCTCATTTGACTTTTCTTTGCACTGTGACAAATGAAGGATGTCTTTGATCTCTGGAACAGAGGGAGAAAAGCCGAAAACAGAACAAGTAGTTCCCTGGATAGCGAGAGTGCAGATATTGCACAGAGCCGTCTCTTCAGTGGAGCGGAGTTTCTCTCGCGCACTTGTGCAGGTCAGCACTATCCAGAAAGAGAGCTGGCATGCCATCAGCCCTCCTGGGGCTCAGCGTACACAGGTTCAATTGGGTCTGACATTCTTCAGTCCTCATTAAAACACTTGGTCCTTGGAACGGATCGCCTCTTTTAGGGATGCAAGGAGTCACAGCACAGTTCAGTGAAGGCTTGGGATTAGTGTAGTTTGTGACAAAAACATCTCCCACAGTGTCCAGCAGATTCCAGCAGAGTTGCAGTGATTTCTAACCATGGTCCTCCGATGTTATTAACATGAATGGGGGTTTATGAGTGACCATTACCAATCGTATCGGAATCAGAGCAGATATTTCCACTTATGGCACAGGGGCTATTCCCAGTGTTTAACCCCGCCTTTCAGTTACTCTTGAGGTGTCACGGGGAACTCTTCTTTCTGATATGTCATATGCAGTAGGTATCTGTTTAAAACACACTCGAGCCAGATCAGAAGTAATAAGCCCAGGACAGAGTCAGATTTGACATTATGTAGAACTGTTATTTTTAGTTGAAATATAGTTTTTGATCCTGCTCAATAATTGAAAAAGAAAAGTCTAACATTATTTTAGGAAAAAATATTCAAAAAAATATTCCAAGCCTTTGTAGCCAATTTAGATCCCTGCCTGATTCTGGGTGCCCACTGAATGTATTAACCCATAAGAGTCTCACACAAGGACCTCTTTTGCCCCTACAACACAGACCTGTGACATGTCCAAATTATATTGCTGTAAGAAACTGAATGTTTCAGCTATTCGTGTATATTGTATATGTTTACTGAAAAAAGTGGATGGAGGAATTTTGAGTGACAATACATAACTTATTCACACATTAACGAGTTGGAGTTGGGTGACTTCAGGTGACAAAGCTGCTCAGTGGTGGGCATTGCTACTCCTTAGTGCTGGTGCCCTGGGTCCAGTTTTTGACCTGGTGTGCTCTCTGTGTGGAGCGTGTATGTTCTCCTTGTGTCTGCAGGGGTTTCCTCTGGGTGCTCCAGTTTCCTCCCACAGTACAAGAACATACCGGTAGGTTACTGGGTTTGGGGGAAAAGTGTAGCTGCTGTGAATGTTTGTGTGTGCCTGCCCTGCGATGGACTGGCGTCCAGGGTTGCTGGCCAGGATAGGCTCTGGCTCCCCTGCAACCCTGAAGTGGTTGAAGTTGTTAGAAAAAGGTTGGAGCAGGGTGAAGATAGTAATTATTTTATTAGTATCCATACAACATGTGCAAGTGCGTGTAATTCCATGAGGAGCTGTCTGATCCCCTTTACCTCCTGCCCCCCCCTCCCCAAACCGCCACCTCTGCTCTTCTTCCAGGCCGGAGGCTCCCCTCTCTCACAAAGGCCCATTGTGAGCTGACGCGCGGGGGGACCTTTTCGGCGGAGAAGGGCCCTTCCTCCTTTCTCAGTCTTTTGATTCTTTTGTCAGGCTGCTGACTGACCAGAGAAAGGAGAACAGAGGCGTATCCCAAAGAGGAATCCCCCTTTCTATCAGACCCCCCCTGCCACCCACCTACGGCCCTGGGCATTGAATCAAGAAACCCTCAATTCGGTGCCAAGTCACGAACGGTTTGGGCTGAGCCTCTCTCCCCTCCCCCCTTCACAAAGCAGCATACTCGCAGTGCTTGTGAAACTGTTGTACTCTTTTCACACTTGTGGGAACATCAATGACATCAGCAAGACAGTAATGAGTTTCAAGGCTAATCCAGCTCCTATGACTTGTTCCCAGAATTCAATCCTAAATAGATCTCTAAGAATCTTGACCGACACAACTGACTGGCCATCTGGGCTTTGCAGACACTGATCTTTCACACAAAGTGCTAGCTCACACTGGTTGAACAGATTTGTACCTGTCCTGAATTTTTTTAATGCAGGGTGGGGTGTATGTTCACTTTGTGTGTGTGTGGAGCTGAGATGCTGGGAATTCTCTGTGCCTGCCTGCTTTTAGTACCAATGGAGAAGGTCAATATGATCGTGGTTAGTAGATAGCAAAACTCTGTCCAGATTGTGGATGATATACTGTACTGATGTAAAAGAATGTTGTTTGCCTTTCTAGGTCTTAAAAAAGTCTCAGTACCACAGAAAAAAATGCATTAAAAATAATTCTTGTCAATTATACATGCCCATACTCCAGTACATCTATTAGAATCTATGATACCTCCAAAACGTGAAGGATTGTTATTATCTGTCCATCAACTTTCTAATCACTTCATTCCAATTCAGGATCAACTGGGAGCTGTAGCCTAGCCTGACGAGCAACAAGTACACACTGGACAAACACACTCACACGAGGGACAATTTTCCCAGAAGCCAATTGAACAACCAGTGTGTCTTTGGACTGTGGGAGGAAACTGGAGCACCTGGAGCAAACCTGCACCAACACAGGGGGAGAACATACAAACTGCACACAGAACCCAGGGCCCCAGCACTGGGAGGCAGCAGTGTCAACCTCTGCACCACCATGCTGCCCCTGAGCACATGGCATGTGTAGAGGAATCCTACTGTTTTTTACCGGTCTGTTCCAATTCAAGTGGTTCTCACCACCGTGCGTGGTTTAAAACTCTTAGACTGCAAATGTGGGACCAGGGGGGTTGCAGAAGCCATCCTGTCCTCTAGGTGGCACCCTCTTGACACAAGCAAGTCCTTAACGTTACAGCCATAGACACAACAAAGCATGTTTGAGACTCTCAGCATGGTGCACAGCCCCTTGCTTCTTGGAATAAAGGTGTTGAGCAAACCAAGGCCACTGTAGCACACAATCAACTTTGTTAACAGGATGTGCCAAAGGATAAGCTGTGTCATAGTCAGTATCGGGCAAATATTAAGCCTTTGTGGTGTCAGTTCTGCAAAACAGCCCAGCAATTAGTGCTGACTGCAGGCTTACTGGACATTCACAAAACCCTCCAGCGGAGAGCAGAAAAGCTTCATTGTGACTGCAGTTTGGACTAGGATCCAATGACTCACTGGGTGTCTGTTCTGATTAG